ATAGCCCCTCGTTTGTTGTCCTCTTCTCCCTCTCTGCCTACGGTTTACCGGGCAGTTCTATTTGACGATATATATATATATATATCGTCACAAATAGATATATATAACTCCGACGAAACAGTTTGTCACAGCCCCTCGTCTGTTGTCGTCTTCTCTCTCTCTGCCTACGGTTTTACCGGGCAGTCCTGTTTGTGACGATATATATATATATAAACGCAGTTAGGTTGGCACTAATTTGCCACTATTCAGCAAAAAAAACAGAAGGACGCGAACGAGGGCCAGAGGCTCGGTGCCTTTACGTGCTTTTACAGTTTACTTGATCTACTTGCTTTTACCTGCGAAAACAAAAGACGGACAAGGGGTCGAAGGCTTAGGGGGTTAGGCTGCACCCCCAACAGATCAGGCGCCCAGTGGAGGAGTGAAGAAGTACAGAAGGCTCACCTAAGCACTCAGTTACAGCTCAAATTCCCATAACTTGTAGCAGGCTCAAAAAGATAACTAACATTGTTTAACAGGTCGTGTTCCAAAGGGTGGGGTTAGGGGAACGGGAGGTTTGCTTGCCTACATGCACTGGAGATCAATCATAGGTGATAGCACCAGGCTCCACGATCGAAAGAAGATAGGGCCACCGGACTTGGGTATATTACCACCTATCTATTGCTGTCATGTAGGCAACCCACTTAGGCTACTGGGTGGTCGTGTAGTTCTACCTGCCAAATCTCCATCTCGAAGGGTGGATCATGCAGCTAGCAGTCGTTACAATCAGATGTCAGTTCAAACAAGAAAGTATGATGTTCAGGAACCGCTTTCCAGCAGGTGCTTCTCCTCACCAATAGATGGAGCCTCCCCGAGAGTGATAGTGGCGTCTCCTCCTATCAGCACCCTAAGCACCAGCTTGGGCTGTACCAAAAAAAAAAAAAATAATAATAATAATAATAATTCCATGATTTTGCTCTTCTTCTTTACACTGTCTTGTTGCTCATCATTTGCTATCTCAATTGGTTAGTTATCATTGAGTTGATCCTTGTGAGTTCATCTGAGATTTGATGGCGAGCTTCTGAAGTTGGATTCATTACACATTGTGGTAGGGGAGAGAGAAGTTGGTGGGGGAGGGGGGGGTTAATGTGGCTAGGGAACTTTGGGCAGTAGATTTGTGACCCATTACAAACTTCCGACACCACATTACAAAAGTTGGGCAGTAGATTTGTGACCCGTTACAAAGTTTTTCAAACCACATTACAAAACTTTGGGCAGTTCATTACAATGTACTCCATAGTGGTCACAAATCTACCGCCCACCAACTATGAAGCAGTCGTCTGGATGTAACCGAAAAATCATATCGGTTTTCCAAATCCTTGTGCATGTGTTTGCACTCCAGTGCCTTCATCACAACTGGATTTATTGTACTACATTACTTCATAATGGACTGTTTCAATTCAGCTTTGGGTTGTTTGTGTGCGCGTCCTCCCACTCAAACTTGATACAGCATTTCCAAGACGCCCGGGTACCGTCTTCACCCGAATAGAACGCCCGGTAATTATTGCCGCATCTGGGCTGAAAGTTGTGCCAAATACAGCTATCATGACCGGGCGTTCTATTCGGGTGAAGACGGTAGCCCTCACCTTTTTTTTGCTACCTGGACTTGGCCATGTTGTTCAATTTTGAGTCTTTTCTGACCGCCTCACGAACGAATGGTTAGGTGTATATGACCAGACAGTCCAAAGGTTGAAGAAACCTTCTTTGGGTTGTTTGAACTCTGAGCCATATAATGCACATGGAGAATGCTGCATGAGCCTCACACATACAGTGGCTCTGCTGTATTATCGTGTGAAGATTGCAGGTGGATGGTTATTTTAGCATGGCCCTCACGAACGAGGTTTTTGACGTCTTCAAGAAGCATATCAGAACTCTGCTGCAGGTAACTCTATTGCACTCCATTTGGTTCATGTGACATGTGACTCAGTACACCGGGGCATGGCTCTATGTGATGTACTGACCGAGCCGGGGTGGGCTGAAACTCGCATCTGCGAACTTCACTTTCATCCCAGCTCACTTTGCCGTTTGGATGACATTCTGATTTATGATCAGGAGGTTGAAGATTCGATTCCCTGGAGTTGTGTTTAGCGCTTGAGGCACGATGAATGCATAAGGAGCTCCTTATGCGCATGCTTTGAGCTCAGGGGGGATTATACCCGTGTTGGTCGGCATCCGGAACCCCTTGACCGGGTCATGGCTGTATGTGATGTACTGACCATGCTGGGTTGGGCTGAAATTCGCATCTGCGAGCTTCAGTTTCATCCCCGCTCACTTTGCCATTTGGATGACATTCTGATTTATGATCAGCAGGTTGCAGGTTCGATCCCCTGGAGTTGGATTTAGCGCAATGAATGCATAAGGAGCTCCTAATGCAGCATGCTTTGAGCGCACGGGCGATTATACCCGTGTTGGTCGGCATGCGAAACCCCTTGAGCTTAGGCACAAGGGGACCATTTGGTTGATGTGACCGGGTACACCGGGTCATGGCTGTATGTGATGTACCGACCATGCTGGGGTGGGCTAAAATTCACATCTGCTTCAGATTTATCCCAGCTCACTTTGGCGTTTGGATGTCAATTTCATTTATGATCACCAGGTTGTAGGCTCGATTCCCTGGAGTTGGATTTAATGCTCGAGGCGCGATGAATGCATAAGGAGCTTCTTCTTCTTCTTCTTCTTCTTCTTCTTCTTCTTCTTCTTCTTCTCCTTCTTCTTCTTCTTCTTCTTCTTCTTCTTCTTCTCCTTCTTCTTCTTCTTCTTCTTCTTCTTCTTCTTCTTCTTCTTCTTCTTCTCCTTCTCCTTCTTCTTCTCCTTCTCCTTCTTCTTCTTCTTCTTCTTCTCCTTCTTCTTCTTCTTCTTCTTCTTCTTCTTCTTCTTCTTCTTCTCCTCCTTTTTTCTTCTTCTTCCTCTTCCTCTTCTTCTTCCTCTTGTTGTTGTTGTTGTTGTTGTTGTTGTTTTGCAATGATGCTACTTCTCACACACAACTTCGCACACTCTAGCACACAAATCTTCGCACACTCGAGATACACACTGGCACGAGATGTGAACACTTGAAAATTGCTTGAAAGTTTGTAAGTCTTGTACAACAAGTCTCAAATATACACAGTTGCAGCTATGGCCACCTCAGGTATGCATCTGTCTCTGAATCTCACTTCTAGTTACTCTCACAGCCCTTGCTCACTATCTGAATGCTTTCCCTCACTCTCTCTCACTCTGTACTATCAGAATGGTATCGGGCATCATCAACTATTCTACTTCTGCTCTCAGTCTCACTTACTGCTTGTCCGCACAAGACTGCAACAACCGTTCTGTGACAGGCACGGATGTAAATTGTGTTGATGCCCATTGCTGCCAGCCTTATGTATTTGATGCAGCTCCTAAATTTGGATCATGCTGATTTCAGTTGTGGCCCTGTGGGCCTAGTTTCACCGAACTGCTGCAGGCGCGAAATCGCCTCTTTTTGCCTGGTGCCACCAACCTTTTTGGGTCAGTAGGCCAAGGCCCCAAGATGCAGAGTGTTAACAGCCATGTCGGAGCAAAAGAGCGGGTCGTTAAATGCCATGTTACTAGCATGGGCAATTTCATGCTAGTCACATTTTGAGCTGCAGAATGAGAAAACTGTTCTTCTTCTTCTTCTTCTTCTACAACATAAACAGGTCCTTACGGACTGGTCCTCTGTATCGGAAAAAGAACTATCTTATTTGATGATCACCACTGAAGCACACACTGTTTTTTTTTTGGGTCTGCTGACTGGTTGCGGGGGTATAATTTGCAATGTGCAGGTTTTTCTGTTCCTGGGGAACAGGAGTCACACAGAAGTAATGCTAGAACAAGATATGGAAATACTGAGAAGTAAAATGGAGACAGTAACAATCAGCATGCAAGATACTACAAATCTCTTGCATTCTTTTTCCATTCTACCAATTGACATCGCGTCCCATGATCTTGCCCAGGTCAGATTATACTCACCATGTACCAAGTCACATATGCCTAAAGGGTTCACAGTTTGGTGTTTAGGGTTTAGGGTTTAAGGTTTGCACTAGCTTTAAAGTTTACGATTTAATTTTAGGGTTTAGGGTTACCAATTATGTGCATCGGACAAATCAGTATATGAAAACAAGAAATTACTTCCAATAACTGGTCAGTCTGATCAACAATTACTTCATACATAGCATACATTATTGGTTTCGCCAATGCTGTCCAGTTGCTCTATGCCTCGGGAAGTGTCTGCAAAAAAAAAAAAAAAAAAAAAACACTGTCCAGTTGCACAACAGGTTTCGGGGAAAAAAAAAAAAAAAACATTGCACCACTAATGGTTCCCTACAGCAAACATGCACACACACACACACAAGATGAAGCACACTGAAACTGTTCTTTTGCCTTTTCCTGTGCAGTTCTTTCTTTTCTTCTCGTGTTATATGACGATATATATGCATATCCTATTATATTACAATGTACAAATCTATATGGTGTAGATATGTATATGCTATGTATGCATGTATAAACTATGTATACCATATACTATGTATATACTATGCATGAGGCTTTGGTTGCCCCTACTGTATACTATGTATATCTCACGTATGAGGCCTTAGTTGCCCATATACAATGTATACATCTATATGGTGTAGATCTGCGTATACTATGTATACAATACTATACATGTATAAACCCGGGTAGCACTGTGGACGTGTACGTATGCCTGCATGCGCATACATGTCCGAAAACACGCGTGCGCGTACGTATTATATTGACGATATATATATACATATTATATACTATATATCATATATATGTAATTTACATAACGTATATATCATATATATATGTAATTTACATAACGTATGTAATATATATATAATATAAACACGCATGGTTACCCCGAGGTGGGGGAAGACGATGGGGAGGAGGAGGAGGAGGAAGATGACGATGAGGAGGAGGAGGAGGAAGAAGACGACGATGGG